ACCTTCTACTGATTCTTCTTAACTTATTGCTGGATTCTATAACTTTGGAATAAAGATATTTTTCCCTTGGGGATAGGAATTTTTTGCCTAGTGACGTTAATGTTCTTTAAAATTTGGCATCGTCTCTCATGACCTGCAAAAAAAAAATAGATCAAGATTGGAGACGAGCTTTTCGCACATTTAGCTTCTAATTTTTCTAGCATTCCACTGCAAGTTTTAGTAATTAGTAGTCTTTTATAGTAGTAGTCCTAGTTAGGATGTTTTAAAATTCACCTACTCCCAACTGGGTGGTTATTCATTAAGCAATAACACTTAGGTACCTACCAATAAAAGTTTTAAGAGACAAAGTTGGTTGCTGACTTTTTCATGTTTGTAGATGTGATGGTTCCACTTGGTGTAGCAATGTCTGCCCGAATTGCAGAAGTTTCAGTAGATAAAAATTGACGACATGAAGGGCCTGGTTGATCTAAAACAGAAATTTCGTTAACAATGATTCTACCAAAAAAGTTTGGATACACACATTGTAGAATATGGTGTACCTGTATGTAACCAGGAATATTTTAATTATTGTGTCTCCTGATAAAGGAATAAACATTTAAAAAAAAGAAATGAATAATATTAGCTTTGTTCCAACACAGCAGAAAACCGTACAATGTACCGTCACGATTCTGCGCAGAAACTAAAATTGTTATACTGAGTGGTTTCGAAACCGTTCATGGGACGATTTTTTGACGTGTTGGAACAGAGTTATTATGTTTACCTACCTATGTCAATCATAGTTGCGAAACTAATTTCTGAAGGCGTCTTAGGACTCTTCGACGAGTTTCAACTGTGTCGATCTCCACTTTTTGCCATTTTGGTGATTGTGGTTTATCAATTAACGACTCCTCACTGTTTTTGATAATTGGGGCTAAAATTGAAATTAATTTTAATGTTTCTGACCTATGCCCCTTTAAACCTGAATTCTAACACGTTGTTGTTAATCAGAACTATGGGGAGGAGTAAGTGAAAATGTAAGTACGTCTTTCTCACATATATCTAGTATTAACTTACCTTCAGGGAGATACAGCAAAAGCGCAGCATTCCATGTGAGTCCTCGTCTGCCTTTTGGATCGCCAACAATAAATTCTCGACGAAAATGTCTTGTTCACACTCTATAATTATTATAAGCCTTCTCGACACTGAGGCTATTTAGTAAAGGATTGCGAACTTTTTCTAGCCATTGTTTCATTTTTTCGGCATCTTTTGGAAACCGGAAATAGCTGCTGTATTTGTCACCGCACCCCGGAACACAGCATTTCTGATGCTTTTCAATTAACAAACTGGGAGAAGACATTTTGAGATAATAATTATTGATAATTGATAGGTAGGTAATTGATAATTCTAAATGTTGGGAGAAGTTCAAAATTTAAATTTTGACGACTGGAAATGACAAAATAAACTTCAAATCTTGGCGAACGGGCCGGCAGGAAAAAGAAAACTTTAATAGGTTGATTGAAGCGCCTCTAGTGATTGGAGGGGAAAGCTGAAACGACTAGACTGACGTCTCTCATAAGACTTACATTTCTAAGGGGGGATGTTTTGTGGTTGATATTTGTCAAAAAATTCAAACAACCAGCACCTTGTTTTACAGGTAATGAAATGTCTCGTCAGTTTCTTGAAAGTCTGTCGTATAGTCTATCGTGGTCAGTGAGCTTATTGCTAAAAATGCAACAAAATACACAAGAAAAAGAGGGTTGCATCAATCCCTTGAAAAATATAGAGGAGGCGGCCGAAGGAGCTTCCTCAGTTGTTCAAATTTTACCATTAATATTAATGTAAATAATTAAAAATACAAACTTTTTTTGACGTTTGCTTTCAAATTTTGATGTTTCATTTTTAACACTAGTGCCTTAAAGACTTTTAACACTAGTGCGATAAAGTAACATTTTTAATGCTTCGAGGGGGTGTTAAAAATTGCATTTTTAACACGTTTGTAGAAAATAAATATTTAAACCATATGTTGTTACGATGGTCCGTTTTCGAGTTAGGGCCGCTTAAAGCTACAACTAGCTTTTGTGACGTCACGCTGGATTATCAGGGACAGTATTAACACGTGTAAAAATCTTCCAAAATAAAAGACAATTATCTCTTAGAGCAAATTGCAACCACTCAAAGTATAGGGTACGGTTCACTGACGACTAAACGAACAGAAGACAGCGATTTCGGCGGTTGTGACATCACAAACTCCTGCATAATTTATCTTCACAAGGCGTTTTCTCGGAAACTATTTTGAATATAGGACTGCGGTTTTCACGAGAGATCTTAGAATTTTTTTCTTGATTTAAGTAGCTTAAGTCGTTTTTTTGGGTCACACCCCCTTTAAGGTACGGTTTGTTAGGATAGTACACGACGCACAACTGACCACGTAAACCATACGTAAACGTCGCCATTGGTTCAGGTATGACGTACACCCGTTTTCTGACGCTGACGCTGACATCAGGTAACGGGTGTACGTCATATCTGAACCAATGACGACGTTTACGTTGTCAGTTGTGCGTCGCGTACTATGCTAACAAACCGTACCTTTATAGTAATCTAAGTGCGCGTTCATATTGACACCGCTCGAGCGGTGAGCGCTGCGCGATGCCGCTGTAGCGATGCCCAAAAATTATTTTAAAATTATTTTTGGCATCACTACAGCGGCATCGCGCAACGCTCACCGTTCGAGCGGTGTCAATATGAACGCGCACTAAGACTTTTTTTGTTGGCAATGACTGCTGAATTAGATCTTGAGATAGTACATTTAGATGTGGAGACTGCATTTCTGAATGGAGACATAGATGAGGTAGTATATATGACTCAACCAGAAGGTTTTGAGGAACCAGACTCTAAAAACAAAGTTTGTTTGCTAAAAAAGGCCATATATGGTCTCAAACAATCGTCAAGATTGTGGTATCAAAAAGCACATGATGTATTATTGGGTTTGAAATTTAAACAATCTGAAATAGAACCTTGCATATTTTTCGAAAATATTCAAACCTCAATGGTCATTGTGGCGCTTTATGTCGCTTCATAACAATACTGATGAGGTTGAAATGTTGAAAATTGAATTGGATAGGAATTTTCATATCAAGGACTTAGGGCCAATTTCATATTGCTTGGGTATGAAAGTTGAAAGAAATAGATCCAAGCATGAACTGAAATTAAATCAGGAGCAATACATAGATAAAGTCCTTCAGAGATTCCAAATGACTGACTGCAATATTGTCAGTACACCTTTAGCAAAAAACTAGACTTTCTTATGAAGGAACATTTTATGATTGTCCTTATCAACAATTGATTGGATCAATAATGTATCTAGCAGTTTGCTCAAGGCCTGATATTGCATTTTCTGTTTCATACCTGAGTCAATTTAATATCAACCATTCCAAAGAACACTGGCTAGCTGCCAAACGTGTGCTTGAAAGTATTTGAAAGGAACAAAATCTATGGGAATATTATTCAAAGAATCAAATTCTCCCATAACAGGATTTGTTGACTCGGTTTGGGCCAATGATATATTAGATCGAAAATCGTTTTATGGATTTATTTTTTCTTTGGCTAATGGACCCATATCTTGGGAATGTCAAAAACAAAAAACTTTGGCCTTAAGTTCAACTGAAGCTGAATATATTGGTATAACTGAGGCGACCAAATAATGGGGATCTTTACTGGCCACTGTGAGTTGAACAAACATTTGTTTAGGTTGCATCTCAGTACCACATCCTTGTGTAGGGCTTGTATTCAAGAAGATAGAGCACATTCTCTGTGACTGCCTGCACTGCTCCGCTTTTTACGCAGAGCCAGATTACGCCAATCATAGATACCTAAACATTGTTTCACCAGGGTTAATACTTTTGACATAATTTGTCTTCTTTTTTTAACAAATCGAAATTGACTGAAACAAATCAATGATGTCAAAAATGTTCGTCGGTTCATAAACCAGGGGGCGGATTACGAACTCTCGATTCGAACCGAAACCGCCATGGATTTCGAACGCACTACATGCGAATGCATCAGAATGCGTTCGAAATCCATGGCGGTTTCGGTTCGAATCGAGAGTTCGTAATCCGCCCCCAGAAGTCATTAATTTTAATTTGTCGAAAAAATTGAATGTGTCATATGAATTAATCTACGACAACCCTTTTTTTTCAAGTTTCAAGGTCAAGTATGAACCCTAGTGAAACGATCTGTGACGAGCTAAGGATAAATGATGACCTCTCGTCTTGTGGAGGCGCACAATGGGCCTAATGTGGCCTAAGTGCTGTGGCATACCATATCACCCTGCCAAACTTACAAATACAGAGATATCATGAGAGAGATTGTGAACCCCTTATTCGACAAGAACTTTCAAGAAAATGCTATTAAAGAAACAAGACATGCTCATAGAGATGTCTTGCAAATCAGAATAAGCAAGAAGCTGCATTTTTACATTCAAAATTTTATTCACAAAAAGGACAAATCAATATTATAGCCAAAGCGTTAACTAAATAAACGAAGAATACATTTTCCAGCGCCTTCCCCTCACGGCAGCCCTGTATGGAAAGAGCATTTCCGTGTTTTCCCAATTTGGCCATGGAAAAGTTCCGCAGTAGTTAATTTTACCTTTTTTTTTTAGCTAAAAATCTCTAAAGGAAATTGCCAGCAAAACACCGCTTGATAATAAATGATGTATATTACGAAAGTTGGCCTCTGCTACCACCCAACGTAGCAAAAGGGGGAGAAACCATAATAATTGAGGGTATTATTAGTCTTGACAAATTGCCTGGAAGTTAGTTGAAATGCGCATTTGGTAAATAACAGAAGACATTAGAATTTTTATAATCAAATTATTATAACCACGTTTTAAGCAATATATTTTTGAGCAATGTAAGGATGACAACGATGCTTTTTCTTTTAAATTCCCCTAAAGGTGGGGCATATACTGTAACTTTGCGCTCCTTTTGTATAATATAATATGGTACATAATGAATCCTTACCTCCATGACATCATTGACAAGCCTCAAAGTCTTATTAGTATCACCAGGATGTGGTGCTTGGCCTTCGGGACCCAATTCCATGAGAAAAGGTAAGTCGCCCCTTTGGTCGCCCCTCACTCCGCCTAAAGGTTTCTTTTTCCGCTTGCGCGGCGCGCAATCGGCCGGTCGCCTTCGTACATGGAACATTATGGAACCTAAAATAAAAGTTAGAATTCAATCAAAAATAATAATTAATATAAGCTCTGACCGATTTTTTTTGCAATGATGTTCATTTTCAAACATTTAACATGCACCTTGCGAAAACAAATTTTGGCAACTGAACTGAATATAGTGAACCGACTGAAAGGAGTTCAAGTTTACAAACATATATGAGACTAAAATAGAATGTGCTGGAAAGCATAATTTTTGAAATTTGAATACGTTCCCTGGAAATTGCTTAGAACATTATCGAAACATAAATATGCAAATTATTTCGAATTCGAAATTGGGGTGTTTGTAGGAGGAAGGTTTCGTCGCATTTCCGGCTTTCATGCGATGCAGCAGTAATGGAAAATGTGCCTTTGTTTTTCATCCAGGAAGAAACGAACGACGCTTTATGAAATTTAACAGCAGCCAGCGTGCTTTCGACAAGTTAAAATCATAAACTAGCGGATTGATTTATGTTGCTGCAGAATTCCGCTTTTGTTCCATAAAATCGAATTTGTTTCGTTGTGGGATAAAAAAAAAAACTCCATATACATAAAAGGTAATTATCTAAAATCGATTGTTTCCATTCCATCAGGGGTAATTTAATATTACATTAAGAAAATTGAAAAACTGATTGCCTCCCGGAGGGTTAACCTTTTTAATATTTGAGAGACCAATCCATATAAAACGCATTTTTATTAGAAAATTGGAATCAAATTACACCTGGTAATAGTTGAAATTGATATGGAAAAAATTAATTTTATTTGTAAGTACCTATATGGATTTTGATTTACCCACGATGAAACATCTACTTTTTGAATAGGTATCCTAGAAAAATTAAAGGGCTGGGAAATTATAATCCTCGGCTCCAGGATCCAAGTTTTTTTTTTTTTTTTTTGATTGAAAATGTATTGACCTAGAAATTGAAATATCCCAATCTAAATGCATGGAGTTTCAGCGATCGTATTGCTAACCCAAACAAACAGATACCCTAATTACCTCCTCATTAAGCCTAGCAGCCTATAATTAAAACAAACTAGAAACGTTGGAAATTAAATACAATTGAAACTAACAACAATTAGCGGCAAATAACCTACATGGCCAACATATTTGCATAGAATGATAGGTATTTTATTGTCTGTCGGGCATAGACGGTACTTTCATTTTGTTATTAAGAAAGTAAGTATAACCAAAAATATACATTAGTAAATAATATATTGCCCAACCAGAGGTAGAGATATATTAACAGTCATATTGTAATTTTTTATGAGTGGTCCGCAAATATTCAACTCCTAAAAAGTTTACTCTACCCTACTTGTTGGACATTGTTTACGCTCTAAGCATAGCAAATAGACACAGGGAGGTTATTACTTATTTATCAATTTCCATGAGGGTCGAAGGGTATGAATACCGCAGTGCGACAATTTAGTTTATAGAGCGTTATTTTCTCAAAATTTGGAAATTGGTAACAACTTACGAAAAGGGAAACTAAGTCTTTGTTTTTGTACATAGTAACGTTGACGAGTAAGTCCATAGCACAACACCATTTTTAAAATTATTGCACCACTCAAATACACTTGTCTACCTATCGACGTTGAATAACTAACTGAGAACATACAGACACCATCCATCCGCTCTTTTGTAAAAGGATCAGACTCTATTCTAAGGGCCAGATTTATAGACTTTCAGATACGAATAACCTTTAAAACAAACAAAGAATGAAATAAGGTTCTCTTAACTCCAAGTCAAGAAACCTGACCATAGAATGGGTCCCGCAATAAATAACCCAAGTCAAGTGGTGCCTTTTGAAAACAGATAACACCTAATAATAGCGCATTAAAATACTTTTGAAGACTTAAAGATTAAGAAGGGATTTGTTACATATTTGAGGAATTTTAATATCTATATTAGTTTTTTCCGGTGGCTGATTTTCTGGTTTACAGTTGATAGAAGGATTTTAAAGTCCCTGTTAATCACTAACTAAGGAAAATTTTGTTAGATACTGTTTAAAACTATGGTGACAGAATTATCAAAAACTTCTGAGGAATTTTAATATCTATATTAGTTTTTTCCGGTGGTTGATTTTCTGGTTTACAGTTGATAGAAGGATTTTAAAGTCCCTGTTAATCACTAACTAAGGAAAATTTTGTTAGATACTGTTTAAAACTATGGTGACAGAATTATCAAAAACTTCTTCACATAAGGGCTAAAAAAGTATTTTATTTAAAATTTTCATAGACAGAAAAAGCATATCCAATGTATAATATCTATGTGTATTCTTTTGAATACTTTTGTCACTGACCTGGACCTAACCCAGCTAAACTTTAAGCCTCCTATTATTTTCAACTTTGCTTATTCTTAGTATTGAGATGTCAATATTCTATCCTATCTGTAAATGGATGGCAAACTGCTGTAAAAACTGTAGTAACATAAGTAAATATTCTGCAATATTCTGAAACTAAGAAAGCGTAACAATAAATAATTCAAAATACAATTAATTACTAATCATTTATAATTATAGTAAATATTATGAGATCAAAGATTTCTTTTTCGAGAAGAATTGTCAGCATCCATAAACCGTTTTTGGTGGTTTGAAACCCTCTTATTCCACTCATCGGAGTGAACTGTACTACTCTGAATTTTAGAAGTCGATGGAAAACAGCTTTCACCGAGTAAATACTAAAAATTCTAGGTGCAATAGAGAAATTTTAATTTTCAAAGCCAGGCTCCGTGAAAACGGGCTCCGCTTTTCAGCGTTTTCCGCTGAACAATCTCCAGTTCCGTACATTTTTAAAAAGATAATATTCAAATACCTGAACACAAAAACCTATTTTATGAGTTTGAAATATCAGAGTTCAACGACAAATTCTTTCGCACCAAGTTACCACTGTTCTAATCAAATTATTCAAGTAAAACATGTGCAAGATATTACATTTAAACTCCTATAAACAAAGAGTCATGCATGCAATGCCAGAGGCTAATTTCTGAAATATAAATGGCGCAATGCTGCACACAATTTCCGGCGTACAAATATAGAAACCGACATAAGACCTTTTGGTGCCCTATTTACGTCTTCTTTCAATTCAACACGCCGGCTATCCAATTATTATTATTAAAACGAGAGAGGGGCAGCACGTGCCGTGCAGATATATTGCAGCAAGAAAATAAACAACCAGTTTTCCAGATTAGTTTTTCTCGATACATGCAATAAAACAACTTCCTCCGGATGGAAAAATCCAGAGAGAGAAATCTCATCGGGGAACAGTCTGACAAAGACTAGAAATTTTAGGTCGATTTGTGGCGTGGTCAATGGAACAAAATTAATTTTACTTAATTCATATTACGCAAAACTAATTTCAACTTTCCTTATTTATTGTAATTATTGTGCATGGACTTTACCTGGGAGAGGGTGACTTTGACTTTATTGCTTAGAGAAACGTGGGTCTCTTCTTACATAAACCCTTAATACACATACACATACACATCATAACCTTTGACACATTTTATGGGATTTTAGTGCCTGGTCAAATTTGATGAAATTTTGGTATTTGAGGTCCTGATTAGAGATGTCCATGAGCTCAAATGAATCATATGATTAGTTTTTAAAATATAGGATATTCGGGAATATTCGATTTTGATTATGTGCTCACGAAACAGTTTTTTAGGGTTTCAACGAACATGATTAAGAAGAAACAATATTTTTACATAGATACATGCGTGATACATCTAAACGATTTTGAATACAGGGTGTACCGCACGGTTTTATTTCATTTTTTTTTTGTCTCAATCCTTTCCGGAAAACTTAGATATCAGAACATTTCATCAAGATTATTTCTTGAGACACCAAAAAAAGTTTTCACATGCAGCCAACTTTCAAGTATAATAGATCCCCTGTATTTGGCAAAGTCGAATATAGCTGGACACTACAACGATCATTCAAAAAGATATTAGTAATTTTCTATAAATAAAATTTAAAAAAATATTTTAAAATTATTACATATGATTACTACATGAAATCGTTTTGTAAGTATAATATTGCCGAAAAAGATTGACCCAAAAAAATTTAAATAAAAACGTACACCCTGTATACAAAATCATTTAGATGTACAATTATTCATGTCTGCAAGCATTTATTTATGTAAAAATATTGTTTCGTCTTATTTTTATTTTATTTTATCGTCCAAACCCCAAAAAATAGTTTGGTAAGCACATAATTAAAATCGAATCATCAACTTTTTAAACACCCGGTATCTCTAAAACTAATCACAGGATTCATTTGTGCCCATGGACACTTTTGATCAGGACCTCGAAAAAAACAACATTCCAAAATTTCATCAAACTTTACCGGGCACCAAAATCCCATAAGATGAGTGCTTCTAAAGACCCCTTTTAGTATAAATTTACAAAGAGATTCCAGATTTCTTGGATCACGTTCTACAGACAGGATAAGAAAATATTCACTATACATTCCTTAAGGTAACACAGGTACTACATAGTGGCCAAATATTCTTTCAAGCTCACTATGCCTTCAAGAGAAGATTGAAATCGAACCCCTATTCATAGGGAAAATGAGATAGCAATATTCAAAGATGCCGCAAAAATGAAAACCAGCACAGGAGCCGGAGTATACTCAGAAACACTAAACATTCAAGAATCATACAAACTCAGAGATGATTGCAGCATCCTGTATACCAAAATAATTGCTATTGAAAAAGCAGCAAGGCTATTGCTAAGGGAAGACAATGCGATGCGCAATGTCACCATATGTGTATGTAGAATGTAGATAGCAAAGCAGCGCTGAGACTAGAATAATATATTGTACATTCACAATCTGTAGTCCAAAGGTACAGGTAAAATTTATCACGTTTCAATGCTATAGTGAAATCAAAAATATTGATCAGCTACCGGGAAGCGCAGTCCTGGAACAGTAACCTCGGACTATGCTGGGTTCCTGGGCAGTTGTCGGGCGAACCTTTAAAACCTAACCTAACCTAGTTTATTTTCCATT